CTCTCTCTCTCTCTCTCTCTCTCATAGACAAGTGTACACTATACACTTTGAGTAGATATTATAATTTGTACTTATGTTACATGTTTTCTCATTTTAGGGACAATTCCAAGTGTACCAAATATATTTGCAAATAACAAGTGCAAAGAAAAAAGTCGTGCATCAAAATATAGGAATAATCTAAAGTACAAAGATGAGAGGTCGTGATTTTTAAGCTGACTATTTTATTATTTTTCAATTTGGACACTTTTTAGGTATAGAGTTTAAAACACCTTGAAATCATTTATATCTCATGTGTTCATAGACTTATATTGAAACACGAGCGGTTGAAGATTAAAGACGAAAAAGGGGAGGAAGCTTGAGATCTTCAATCTCTATACCATTTTTTCTTCCTTCATTTTATAGGAAGATCTCATTAATTTTGACATGAACAACAATTGCGTTGAAGTCTGATCAGTTGATAAAATTTTTACACATTTTATCAAACAAACACTGTCTCAAACTATGTTATGTAGTGAGACTATGTTACGTAGTTTAAGTCAATGACAAGGTCGTGATTTAAAATTATTTAATAAAAAATCATATAGTAATTTAAACTTCACAAGATCATGATTGTGACAGTCACTTTTTATTGAAATTGAAACTCTTTATATAATATACATAAAATGATACCCAATTGTTTAAAGTAATCGCAATTGCATATGGCAATCATCGCCAGCATTATTTGATAACAGAAATATAGCTCTTGTTTAATAATGTTGATGATAGTGGAAAACAACGAGAAAATGAAATTCGCAATCTGTAACGCTCGTGTTTTGTTCCCAGCAAATAAAAATAAAATATTTGCTTTTACATCGTATTCCAACTAGTTTACGACGAAGCACAACTTTAAAAAGCATGTTACTTGCATAAGGCAAACAAGAACAACAATAATTCTATTTGTACAAAGTTCTCTTACAAAATTGATTGACAAAATCCAAGACACTAATTTCAAATGGTCTGACTTAAATGTTCCATGCCTGATTTAAATATTCTCTTCGTTGTTACTTTTTCGTATCAAAAGATCAATTAATCAAAGCCAGCTTTCCCTTTTTTCTTCATAATTTGATGGACGAAGGAAAACTTTGAAAAATATGTTATATGCACTAGTAAGAGCTCGATATCTAATTTGAATATTCGTATTATTGTTATTTTTTAATATATCAAAAGATCAAATTGGTCGAAATCCTCTTTCTTGTTTTTTCTTAATAATTTGATGGACAAAGGGCAACATTAAGAAAATATGTTACCCGCACAAAGCAAGCAAAGCAAGAACAGCTCGATATCTAACTTTTTGAATATTCTCGTTATTGTTATTTTTTAATCTACCAAAAGTCACACTGGTCGAAGCCCTCATTCTTGTTTTCTCTTAATAATTTGATGGACGAAAGGATAACTTCGAAAAACATGTTACTCACATGACAAGCAAGAACAACTCAATACTCGAATATTCTTGGGATAATTTTACATGTACTTTATAATGTTCATAAGATTGTCCATAATGTACACATGAAATTCCATGATTGGAAGGCTACAAAAACTATTTTTTCAACCCTCGAATGATGTTATACCACTTCTATATTATGGATACACTTACGAACACCATAATGTACATCTAGCATATTGAGCCAAAGGGAAACTTTGAAAAACGTGTTACTCACACAGGGTAATCGATAACAGCATGATACCTAACTTTAATATTCTCATTATTGTTACTTTTTATATCAACAGATCAGATTGGTCGAAGTCCCCTTTCTTGTTTTTCGTTACTCGCACAAGGCAAGCAAGAATAGCTCGATATCCAACTTGAATATTCTTGTTATTGTTATTTTTTAATATATCAAAAGTCATATTGGTAGAAGACCCCTTTCTTGTTTTTTCTTAATAATTTCACAGGTTGGTCTTCCTTCACCTTGTCCCATCTCGATATCGCTAATTCTAATAAACCGTAATCTACATAGGTTGATTAAGCAACCACACAAGTATAAATTATAATTCTAATCTATCGTGTCTAGTACATTGTGAAAGCAATCAAATATGAGATCGAGTAACTACTCAAATAGCTAACAATCGATAAGAGGACTATTGCAAATGTAAAACATGTATGTATTGGAGAAATCAAAAGCACAAATCCAAGTCATGGTCCAAATTATTTAAAAGGGCAATGAAAAACAGAGGCAGATAAGAATTAAGACAATTTACATTCATGAAATTGATAAGGGCAACCAATAACATTTTGTCTCTCGTTTAATTAAATCAAATCCCCTCTTCAGATGTCCTTCCTCGTTAAAAGCATGCATCCAGAAGACAACAGCAGCACAATGCAGCCAAACTGCCCAAAAAAAATAAAAATGTAGTCATCTAGTCCAATGTTGATGGTTCAATATAAAGTCCATTTGATAAGATTTCCACTTGTTTACATTAGGCCAACTTCTTCTAAAAAAATACCTTCATAAAACAGTCAAAAAATGTTCAAAAGCCTTTTAAGACCCGTTTAACATGACTTTTAAAAAATCGAAAGTTGTTTTTGGACATATTTAGATAATTTTCTAGAAGTACTTTATCTGACTAAAAGAACTTTTAAATAAATCTAATTCAGAATTCATGTTAAACAGCTCTTAGTCTCAAAAACAACTTCCGAATTTTCAAAGGTGATGCCAAACAAGCTCATGGCAGTATAAATTGAAGTGCTAAACTCAAGTATGTCATTACGCATTTATAAGATTAATTGAAATATATATGGACTATGACTAAACTCAAGTTGGGTGGTGCAACATTTAAGAGTAATGTTTAGGGTCCCCAAAAATATAAAAAAAAATGTTGCTGTCTCATATAGGCAGAAGGCATACAACTGTGTGGACCATAGTCCGTAAAGCAATTTGTAAGCTAGATAGCAACATTTTAGGGATAAGTCCACAAATGGACACCCAATTTTATGTTTAATGTCATCATAGCTACCCAATTTTATTTTATTTTATCATGGTCATCCAATTTCATATAATGTTTCACCATTTTAACTAATTTTAAAAAAGGTGAAATGATAATTTTGCATTATATATATATAAAATAAATTTGAAAAATAAAAAATATATTTTTTTAAATTTTAAAAATTGGTTTTTATTTAAAATATTTTTATTTTATTTTATTTTATTCTAAGTAACATTTTCTTAAAAAATAAGTTATTTTATTTTAAAAACAAGTATTTATTTTAAGTAACTTTTTTTTTTCCAAAAATAAGTTTTTATTTTATTTTATTTAAATTTATTTCTATATATAAGTAAAGTCATGATAAAATAAAATTAAATTGAGGCTCCGTTTGGTAGAGATTTTTTGCCCCAAAAAATTGATTTTTTGACCGTTATTTTACCATTCAAGCCGTAATTTTTGACTTCTTATCTCACATGTGGACCCCACTTTTCTTCTAACGGTCAAAAAATCAATTCTAAAATTCCCTACCAAACGGGCCCTGAATGGCCATAGTGACAGGGTATAAAATTGAATGACAGTTGGTGAATTTAACCCCAACACTTACGGTGAAGTTGAGGAATTTCAACAAAAGGGAATAATCAAAGATACAAAAAGGGATAGACGAAAAACCCCTCTAAACTGCAACAACTAGAAGGGCTGTTCCGGAATTTCATGCCCTAATTATTTAAGTCGTCGGGCCAGGGAGCCCCTAACCAGAGGCGCACGTCAACAACCGTGCGCAGGCTAATCAGTTGACTCGCTATCAACTCACCAAACAACAAAGTAATGAACAAGACTAAAAACTCAGATCTTCCAGATCTAAATTCGTAAAAAGTAAAAATCCTGTTCCCTAATCAAATAAACAAATAAATACACAAACATACAATCTAAGTCAGATACATCGAAAAACAGTATCGAACGTACCAGCCTTCCATTAATCCGGCACTACTGTTAGATTGCTTTTGAGGCGGCGGAGCACCGTATTGTGGTGCGTATTGTGGAGGATAGCCCTGGGGCGGATAGCCTTGTTGTGGGTAACCTTGCTGCGGCGGGTAGCCCGCCGGCGGATAGGCATCCTTCGGGTATCCTTCCGGTGGATAACCTAAAGATTCATAACAAGAAAACCCAAAATCACATTAGATCAATAAAGTCAACTAACAAAAAAAAATAAAAAATTGAATGAAATTCTTGCGACTTGCCTTGAGGAGGAGGAACTCCAACAGGGGGTTGATTCTGATTGTAGTAACTCATGATTTCCTAGTATTGAATTTGTGTTGCGAAGACAGTTTAGATTTCTGGATTTTGAAGGAACAAAAAATTTTAGAGAGAGAAAAGAGTTGACGTGATATTTATAGAACGATTAAGAATTGTGTTTATACGAGTTGTATTAGGAATTGGGTAAATTAAAGAGAAATTACCATTGCGCGTTCAAAGCGCGTCTAGATAACCGTTATATATTTTGCTTTTTCATTTTTTTATTAAAAAAAATTTATTTTTATTTTCTTTTTCAATTTATATTAAGGATTACTTATTTTGTCAAACACATCTTCATCAAAAATTAAAGACAGTCTTATATGTCACCTACTTCAATAACGACGTAATGCCATTTGCATCGCATGAATGGGTAGGCATATCACAAGTGCATATATAATCATTCTATCGAACTTTTTGTTTTCTTTTGTACGACTTCTTATTTCTATAAACAATAAAGTCTGAGAGACTTTTATTAAGGTTGTTTACACTAAAATTGTTCGTTCACAGAGGAAGAATCGATTTTTAATAATAAAAAATTTAATACATATCTTTACAACAAAATAAAGGCTGAATGCATTGTAAAATTGTATTGAAAAGTTGGACAATATTATTTTAATTGCAGAAATTATTCTTAATTTTGTCATACAAGTATCACTTAATATTACAAAGTGATTCAATAATTAAAATCAAAAATTGATTTTTTATCTTTTCAGTTTCACACTCTGTTCATTTTGGAAATAACCTGGAAAATCAGATTTTATAAACTATTAAAAATATATTAATACGCATTTAAATAACTATTGAACACAATGTCAGTGGTATTTCTTTCTTTGTTGTTTGTTTGGCTAGAGAAAACGTAATTCCTGACTTAGTCAAGACAAAAGAAAATTGATGTGGTCCATGCATTTTTTTTCTTGGGGCAGCAGCCAGCTACTAAACATCAACCCAATTTTTAAGTTCTTCTGGGGTGAATATATCCAGTGTAAGTTGTTGTGTTGACTGGATAATATATTTGTACTAGTAATGTATGTTGTTTCTTGCTTCTCATTAAATTTTGTAGTCATTTTATTAAAACTTGTAGGAGTACGTGTGTTGCATGTCTTATATATCGGGTGAATGATATGCGAAATGTTTTTGAAATATTAATACTATTTTTGAAAGTAGTTGAGATAATTGATATTGGTAAAGGAAAAATTAAAATTGTTAAAAAAATATGTGTAGAATCAAATTTTTATGAAGTTATGTATATAACGTGAAAATGTTGAAAAACTAAAATATAATGTTTTGGTTACAATAACATTTCTTTGTACACAATATTTTTTATCAACGTCCTACAATCAAGACTTTTGTTGTTTGCATTGAAATTTTGAGAGAAAGTGTGACATATAAATGCCCATGAGAGAATACATTTTTAAGAAAGTATGTTCCAATAGTAGGCTTTCTTTGTCCTTGGACGTTATTAATGATCATTGCAAAGCATAAATGTATTGAAAATTGTTTCTTATTGGATTTGAAAAGATAACCTTCATTATTTGATGGGATGTGTGAAAGGAAAACTTGTCTTTCAGCATGTTATCCAACGATTATTTTTGCATGGATAATATGTCTCTTAAAATCAAGATAAATCATTCTTATTCCATTGCAAAGACCATTGAATGGGTTCAAATTCCTTAAGAGCATCACTGAACAATTTCGTTTCAAGATTAACTTATGTAGTGGAAGCCTATTTAGCAACAACATATTTAGGAACTCCTCTTGGTAAAATTGATTTTTTCTCATCTATTGCTTCATCAAATCCAACAAATTCTTCACTTTCTCCAAGAAATAATCCAATTAATTTGTTATTGAGATAATCAATATACTCATTTTTGTTGAAAAAACTCTACAGTGTGTCATATAATTAGAAGAAGCTATATTTTTTTGTTAAATCTAGGACATTGCATTGAGTGAACCCTTGTGAGCAAAGCACAGTATAAAAAAGCTTTATACTCTACTGATAAGTACAATTTGTGCACTTATTTAGGCCATATTACTAAATTTTTATGTCATCAAATTATTAATTTTTATTTAATTTGGGTTAAATTTCTTTTATTTTTAGTAATGGACTCGTTTGAAGCAATTGGAAAAGAAAGAATGTTGAAATTGAATGAAATTTACAATTTTGGGATAAAAGTCTCGCTATAAATATTGAAGGACCAGATTGCATTAATTTGAAAGATTAGATGACTTGAAGAAACACAAAGTTAATTGGCCATCTGCCAATTGAAATTGGAATGGAAAGTGAACTTTTATGTTAAAGAGAACTATAATGAAAATCAAATTGGGCCTCAATTGGACTTGCATTTGGAATCTAAGTCAATAATTACTGGGACTTCATTATAGTTGGAGGCAATTGGAAGGGAAAAATTCATATATCCTGTATTAAGTATGAAGACTTCAAAAATCAGATTTTAAGTTTATAAAATGCAAAAATTAGGTTTATTAGTTAATTAATTAAAAATATTTATTAATTAAATATAATGAAATCACAATTACACGATTAATGGTCACGGTTCTCAGTGATACAAGATTGTAGGTTACAAATTTATTTAATGGTCACATATCATCAAATTAATTGATCACAAATTATTTCAATGTCATAAATAAAAAATTTTGTAGGTCATAGATTATTTCAAATTCACAAATCGAAAAATTTATAGGTCACGAATTATTTTTTAATAATGGATTATCAAACTTTAAGGTCACAGACCAAATCCTTGAGGTAATAAATTAATTTAGTCTCAAATTATTAAATTTGAAGGTCACAGATCACCGCCAACAAAAAAAACACAGAGGCAACCAACCCAAACCACCAACTTGCACCCCCACAACCACCGTCGTCGCTGTCGCCAAGGCCACCGTCACAACCACCACTACCAATAACAACACAAATTCAATATCATAACCTCCTAGACCAAACCACAACCACCACTAACAATAACAACACAAATTCAACATCATAACCTCCTTCACCAAACCACAACCACCAACAATACTACACCGCAACATCACATTGCCACACCTCCAACCACGATCTCTAGGCTCCAGATCGAAAGTCAGTCAAAATCTCCACAAAACCCGTCAGCACCACCACAAAACCATCGAGAAACATCGAAAAAACCGCCTCAAAAATACCATTTCCAACCCACCAAAATAACAACCCCAAACTACCGCATGTTGTTTGTCTTCAATGGCCAGATCGAGTCGACATCGTCGGCCACACTAACATTGAAACTAGACAACACCAGTACACCGACAACACCACCACCATCAATGCCTCAGATCCACGCTGTGACGACTTTGTAGCAATCGTGGCATCGAAGCCAATCGCGACACCGATGCTTACCTCGTCGGCTCTCAGATTTCGCAGCAACAACGCCATCTCCGATCGCAAAAGTTTTCAGATCCCAACAGCACCATAAATCGCAGTAGCATCGTCATCTCCGATCTCTTCATTACAGCAGCACCGCGTGGTAGAGACGGCATTGGTGTCCGATGGTGGTTGCTCCGATAGCGACGACAACATCTGATAGAGAGGAAGAGATGAGAGGCAGAGGCAGAGACCAGAGAGTGAGAGTAGGAGTAAGGGTGGGAGGAATGAGGGAAATACAACTTAATAGCCTAAATAAAAGGAGGATTTTCCAAATTAGTCTAAGAAATAAAAACATTTGAAAACTAGTCTCCAAACAATCAATTTTCCAAAAATACCCTTAATAGAGAAATTGCAACCAAAGCCACTACAATGTCTGAAAACCTTCAAATAAATCCTCAAAGATATATAGATCAAAATTCTTTAATAAATTTAAATCCAAATATTATACAAAATTTTATTGATCTAAAAATCTATACAGAAAACGAATTAATCTATCTAGAAGAAGATCTGAAAGACTTCTTTATAGAATATTTAGACCCAAGAATAAAAAATAAAAATGATTCCATAGATAACGAAGCAATCAAAATGGAAAAAGACATATATAAATTAATTCTTAATTTAAGAAGGAAAATTGAAAAATTAAACATAATTATTCAAGAAAAAATATTAATAAAAAATAGTGAATTTTATAAATTCTATTGTAACATTTTAAATACTTATGAAGAATCTAATTGGCTCAAAAATATTAACCCCTCCGCTGTGCACTCCGAAAAAATGGTATCAGAGCCATGTTACGAACCAAAAATAATGATGAATATAGTAGATGAAGAAAATATAATTGAAGAATTTTTGGAAAAGGTTAAAAAACATAAAAAACCTAGTTATCCCTATTTACCTAAAAACACTACAAATGAAAGTTTTGAGGATATCCATAAAAGACTAGAAAATCTAGAATATAATATACAAATAGGAAATGCATTATTAGATAATAATCTTAGAGGAAAAGATAGGATTATAATAAATCCACCTCAAGATTTTAGAATAACAAAAAATAAGGGAAAAAAGCATGAAGAAAAACAATATATGATAACAGATGTAGAAGAAATAGAACAAAAATTCTTAGAATCTACAAGAGAAGAGTATGAAGAATATAAAAAACAGTTAGAAAAATTAACTGAAAATATGGAAAATACAAAAATGAATACTAATCCATCTTCAAGTCACGATATAAAGGTAGAATTTAGTAGTGATGAAGAACAATATAAAGATTATCCTTATGGTACCCCATTACCTAATAAGGCTGATATTAATCAATATAGAAAAACTCAGAAAAGATACACTGGAAATGTTAGAAAACAATCCATAAAAGAAATAAATCCAATGAAATCTTACAACGAACCAATCCACACAACAGGAATATGGCTAGATTTAGATTGTGTAGATAAAAATAAAGCTATTGAAACATGGATAAAAAGTACAGATTTAGCTATACAATTTAACAAATGGGAAACATATACGGCTTTTGAATTTATAGAACATACATTTAGAGGAACTGTCTCTGAATGGTGGAG